AAAAAAAAAAAAAAAAAAAAAAAAAAAAAAGCGTGAACCAGCTTCCTTGGGCTTCTTTTATTTATTTAATTATTTAATTTTTTTTTCCCCGTACTGGGGATTGAACTCAGGATCTTGTGCTTGTGAGGCAGATGCAGTGCCACTGAGCTAAATCTCCAGCCTCTTTGGGCTTCTTTTATAATGGCACTAGCCCCATACTTGGGTCAGAGCACTCTTGACCTAATCACTGCCCAACTTCTCTACTTAGCTTCCTTTGGTGCGGTACAAGAGATGGAACCCAGGGCTGCGGGCAGGCCAGGCAAGTGCTCTACCACTCGGCCGCGGCTACACTGCAGCCCTTTCTAACATTTCATTTTGAGACAGGGTCTTGCTACGTTGCCTAGGCTCGCCTTGAACTTGCGATCCTCTTGCCACAGCCTCCAAACAGCTGGGATTACAGCTTGCACCACCACGCCTGGTAGGTCCCACCTTTTTATACCATCCCCTGGGGGGGATGGCTTGGCTTCAACATATGAATTTTTTTGAGGGGGCAAAACGTTCAGACCATAGCAGGTATTATTATGCCCATTTTGTGGATGAGGACACTGAGGGACATGGAGTCCAGTGGCTACCAGGTGGTGATGCCACGATCTGAATCTAAGCCAGGGAGCGGCCACCTTCAGCTCCCTAGCTGGTCCTGGCTTGCCAACTGTTCTGTATGGACCATGAGAGAAAAATTGTTTTTACATTTTAAAAATGGTTGGAAAAAAACTCAAAAGAAGAACCACATTTTACAAGACCAGAACAGGAAATGACATTCAAATTTCCGAGTCCGCGAAGGCTTTGGTCGACACAGGGCCACACCCGCTTACTTAGGTGCTGTCTCCCGCACGGCCATGTTGGAGTTCAATAGCTTTGGAAGAGACCAAAGGGGCTGCAGGTTTGAATGTTTATCGCCTGGCCTTTTACAGAAAAAATCTGCTGACCCCCGCCCCAGGTGGTCTGGCGTGAGAAGTTTTGCTCTCAGCCCTTACAGCCTCCTGAGGGACAAGTATGAGGGATGTGGGACTCAGGCCTTGCTGACTCTGGGATATGATAGGTGCAGAACGCACACCTGAAGTCCGCTGGTTGCTGAAGAGGTGGAGAAGCATCCTTGGATGTGTTCAAGACGACAGGTGACAGTGTAGGAAAAACAGGTCAGCGTGTGCGCAGTACCGTGTTTGGGGGTGTATTGACAGCAAAGCCCAGCTGTTACCATGGGAACTCTCTGGGGCTCTGGAATCATTTTTCCCACATCTCAGAAGATGCCCTGGCAGCTCCCTTATACCTGGCATAGGAGGCTCAGTTCCTGGGAGCAGGGGTAAAGTGGATGACAAGTGGGTTTCATAGCAAGGTACACCAGATAGCATGGTCCTAGAGACTGGCCTTGCCTAATAAATAGGAAATGGCCAACTTGAGAATGTACACCCTAGCTCTGCAGCCTTGCTGACCTCCAGCTGCTGTAGCACATCTGGCTGAGACCCCAGGTGGAGCCTCTCAGACATGGACACCCACTTGGATGGGTCATTCACCTGAGGCTGACAGCCATCCCTAGTGCTTGTGCCAGGTCTGGCGCGGTGTTGTGGCTTATTTCTAGATGTCCCTCCTCTACTCCAAAGCCTCATGTGCTCATAGGCGGAGCTTCTGGGGTTGGGTGGATCATGGGTGTGGATTAGTTCACTGATTGGTTTAGCGTAGTGCTGGGTATGGATGGTGGATTTATTAAAGAGAGAAGACCCACCCTGGGTGTGGATGGCACCAACCAATAGGCTTGCATTCTGGATGGAATAAAAAGGGAAAGAAGAGGGAAGGAAGGCGCTGCTTCTTGCCTGCCATACCATGGACTGTTTCTCCTCTGCTGTTTTCCTCTGCCTCTCTGCCCTGCCTTGGGGCCAGTCAACTATGGACTGAAATCTCTAAAAACCGTGAGCTAAAATAAACTTCTCCTCCTTTAATTTATGGATGTCAGGTATTTTGTCTCTGCAATGAGAAAGTAACTAAGAGAAATGCTTCCAGTCCAGAATTGAGCACAGAGGGATAGATTCCCAGACAGGTTCATTCCTGGAACACAGGCCTTTGCTTCTAGGATCCTTCAAGAACCTTCCTTGTATCTCCATATATTGCACTGTAATCGGAGAGGCGTCCACCCGACCTTCCTTTGGTGTTTCTCTTGGTGATAGCCTTGTTTTGCGATCTGATGGTTCTCTCAGCCTTATCTAACTGCTTTTCCTGTTTCCTCTAACATATGTTTTCCATCAATAAAAATTCTTGCTCATTTATCCCATCTTAGAGGCTTTGTGCTTGTCAGAAGAAATGGGCATACATATATATGATTTATAAAATTCTACTTTATGTAATCCTGTGCAAAGGGCCGAATCTCTGGTCCCTCTTGATACTGCCTCTCCCCACCACAAACTGTGAGCATAAAATCAAAGTTATACATGCACAGAAATAAAATAATTCTGCCAAGCTTCTGATTAAAAATAATGGTCTCCTGTTCTACCAGGGCCATCTGTTTTCAGCTCTCCAGAGGTAAACCACTTATAACTCTCTGTTTCTTCTGATGTTTATTTCCGTATTTCTAAATAATATGTACTTGTTAATGAGTTTCTTCCCAACTGCCTATCATTCAGTCTCTTCTCCTGGACAGCAGATGGAAGCTAAAGCACCCTTTGCTAAGTGCTTGCTTGCTGGCAAGGCGATTCCACTGGGAGGTCCTCTGAGATAGGATCCTTCCTTCTTCCTTTCCTTTCCCTTCTCCTCCTTATAATTCGCACCCTCAGCCTCATGCACACTAGGCAAGTGCTCTACAATTGAGCTTAACCCTTGCCATTAAAATACTTCTAAAAATTTGAGACAAAGCCTGGTTAAGTTGTCCAGGCTGGCTTTACACTCAGCAACCTGAGTAGCTAGGATTCTGGGTAGAGTTCCTACTGAGCAAGGCTATACAGCATTTGAGAGCAGGTGAATCCACGGTGTCTAAGCAAGGGTAGTGCAAGCCGTGTTTGGCTTTCTGACGGTCCTACCTTAGCTTCTTTCGCCAAGGCCCTGTCAGATTCTGTTTCTTTTTCTTCCAAGCAGGGGCTAAGTTAGAATTCATGGAAGCTCAAGGTAAGAAAGGGAGAAACAGAGATAGGGCAGCAACTTCTGTGACAGCCAGAGTACTCTGAGTGTCAAGGGGGTTGTTGTTGTTCTTTAGATGGTTAGGAGCAAGCAAAATGCAGAAACCAATATGGTGACCATGTGCAGATTAGAAAATGGCCCCCACTGCTCCAAACTGCCCCCTGCTGGACAGTGGTTGGAACAACAATCTCATAGTTCTGCAGGGGCAGGAAGGAGACGGGCACCCACTAGGACTGGGTGAGGCGGGGGACCCACCTTGCTGAGGACCAGCAGGCGCTGCTTCTCCTTCTCGCTGGTGGCCAGGGAGGCGAACTGCTGCAGCTGCAAGGGCGTGGGTGGTGTAGTTATGTCCAGGTAGTACTTGAAGGCCTGGAAGATGGTGCAGGGAGGGAGGCGGGGCTCATCCTTCCAGTTACTGATGACACCTGGGGAGGCACCGGGAGAATCTCAAATTCAAGCCTCGCCTAAAGTCTTATTGAACTAGGGAGGCTCTGTTTTAAAAAAAAGAAAAGCTGGGGATGCAGCTTAATGTGAAGACTCTGGGTTCCGCCTCTAATTCCACAAGAACAAACCAAACCAAATAAGAGCAAACATATGAAAGAGGGGAAAAATAGCACGAGGGAGTCCTGGGCCTCCAAATCATTGGCCCCCAACGGGGTGACAGGCAGAGGCACACTGTGACCCCACCCGTCCTCTCACGCTGTTAGCTTCTCACCGCTCTGCAAAAGATGCTTATGTTTTTTTTTCCTCATACCGGGGATCGAACTCGGGTCCTTGCCCTTGTGAGGCAGGTGCCAGAACCACTGAGCTAAATCCCCGGCCCAAAAGATGCTCATGTTGCAAATGAAAAGCATAGCTAACACTCACCTAGCACTTTCTATATGCCAAGTACTATTCTCAGTATTTTATATTATTAGTTAATTTAATCCTCACAACAATCCCAGGTGGTGAGCACCATGATATCATTACTGAGAAAAAAGGAAGCATAGAGAAGGTAAGGGATTTCTCCAAGGCCACACAGCTTTTGAGTGCAGAGTCAGGCAGTCTGGCATCAGATGTTTTTCTAACTTATGGCCCTGTGCAGTTGGCTCTCCATATCCATGGGCTCTGCATTCTGCGGATTCCCTCAAGGGTGGAAAATATTTGAAGAGGTTTTCTCATCTTTACTGAACAGGTACAGGCTCTCCCCCTTGTCATCATTCCCTAAACCACAAGGCATAACAGCCACGTGCGGAGCAGTGTGACATTGTATTAGGCATCACAGTGGCCTAAAGTTACAGGAGGGTGTGCAGGGGTTAGGGAAAACACTGTGCCATTTTACAAAAGGGATTTCAGCCTCTGTGGATTTTAGTGTCTTCCAGGAGTCCTGGAACCAGTTCCCAGAGACACTGAGCGACAAATGCTCTTTCTCTGGGGCCACTCATGTGGCCCCTGAACACAGCACTTCCTTCCCAGGGGTTCAGCCCAGAGGAGGAGTGTCCAGGTGGATTTACTGAGAGAGGTGTGTCTCTCCAAAGTGGAGCCTTCCTAATGGATTTTCAGGAGGGCTTTGACCGCGAACCTCTCCCACATCCTGCCCTGATTTTATGCCCCTTAGCTGCTTTGTAAGCTGTGGTGTCATGGGCTGCTCCTCGAGGTCACTGTAGATCCTTGTACGAGAGCCCTGAGCCCACCTGTGGCTGGGAGATGAACCCCGAGACCCATTTGCCTTTGAGGGTTCCTCACTATGAATGCCAAGGACGGTCACTTAACATGTTAGATTTGATCTAACATGTCAAACGTGGGTTCCACCCCTCAGTGGCCATCAAGCTTCCTGTAGGTCCTTTCGATTCTAAGGGGAGCCTGGATCAGAACGCAGTTGGTATTTACTTGGAGTTAGGACCAGACTCTGAGAGGAATCAGGATCAGACTCTTAAGAAGAGTCAGGATCAGACTTTAGCTGGTATTTGCTTCATAGGCAGTAGAGTATAACAGATTTTCTTAAGGGATGATGCGATGAAGAAAATACAAAAGCGACTGTTACTAAAATGAGCATCTAGTGATGACCACAGTAGAAACCCCTTCGCCCAGTGAACCATCTGCACCTGGTGTCACGGTGTCTGCTTGGTCAGCCACGAGAAAGGGCGAAAGTTGTCTCCTAAACCAGAGGCAACAGAGAGCCGCTCTCCTACATGGATTAGTGGGTGGGAAGAGGACTGGGTCTCCCCTTCCCACACAGCCACCCCCCGGACCTCCCAGGGGACCGGGAGGCAAATGTCCCGGATATTACCCAAAGCCGTGTTCCGTTCCTCCAGCAGTTCCACCTTGACCATCTGGTTGGTGGGGGGCGCGTCCTCCAGCCGCTCAATGAGGGTGTTCACGAGGTCTTCGTGGTTGCCAGGGAAGACCCCCAGGTGGTCTCCGGGCTGGTACTGCAGCTCCTGGTTCCCGTTGGTGTGCAGACGCACGAAGATGGTTGATCGGCTGCGGGGAGGGACATGGGGAACAGTGGGACAGGAGCCACCAGCTCCTGCCCTTCTCTGCTTTGTGGTTGTAACTCCCTCCCTCTGCTCTCTCTGGGGACCATGCCATCAAGGTTTGTGCCCTGTCCCTCCTCTCACGGTCTCCCAAGGGGTCCTCACTTCAAATCCAACGACCGTCCCCGGGCTCGTCTGGACTGGGAAGCAGCTCTGGCTACAACCGCTCACCTCTTTCCCTTCTCCCTTCTTGGACGCCGCCACCCAAGCTTACCCCGTCTGCTCTCTGGCTGTCCCTGCTCAGTCTCTTTTGCTGGTTCCACTTTGTCTCCCCAAACTCTGAACACTGGAGCACCCCAGGACCCATCCTCGGAAATGTCCGCTCCTCTGTCTTTGGGTCTTTGCTTCACTTTTTCTCCACCACATCACATCCTCGGACCTGCAGCACCGCTCAGCTCCTTCTATGATGTGTGATCTGTCCCCAGCCAGGGCAACATGAACTCCGGCTGGATGGGCATTTACTTTGTCTACAGCTACATTCTTGGTGCTCGTCACAGTGGCTGGCACATAGTAGGTTCTCCAAAAGTACTTGCTGAAGGAAGGAACCTCAGACTTCCAGGGTAAACCAGCCACGGGCAGGCTCTGTTTTCAGTACCAGTTAGGGTTCTCCCAAGGCCCAGCACCCCAGGGGAGCAACAGAATAACCTGTGAAATTCCATCTCTCCCAGGAATTCCAGGCTCCGCCCCTTTTCCTCCTATTGTCAATGGCAAAGGGAAAAAGACCCGGCCTCAAGCTTGCGTTTGTCTTAGATATACATTCACTAGTATTATAACATTGAGAGATAGAAGAAGAAAATTCAGAGGGAAATGCACTTATACCTCTCCAGTTGTGCCCTTTCCCAGTGATTTCTTTGTTTCATTCAATGGCTTCAAGACTAAATTCTCAGGTGATTATTCTGGTCCTCTGACAAGTTTTTGTACAGGTAATACTACATTTAATCCAATCCCTGCAAAAGGGGATCAGTGACACTTGGGTAAATCAAGCCCTTTGTACTCTGAGCTGTGTTTGCTTTTCAGATCTGCTTTCTTCATTGCCAACTGGTTTCCGTTGGTGGAGATGCTTGATATTCAACATGAAGTTTCTACATTCTCCATGGTATGTAAATCACATTTGAATAGACCAATGGGACTCGCTATTTAGAGGTTTTTGGCACAACCAAGAGCCCTTTTGTGCTACAAATAGCCACCATTATTAAAAATAGTTGAGCTGGCACATTTTTTGTGTGTATGGGGGGAGGTATCAAGTATTTTCTATCCTTGGTATGGTGGGGGATTAATTGGTGGTCATAATTGTGATAGTGCTCCTTTCCTGGGCAGATCTCACCCTCTCTGGGGCACTGATCTTGTTCATTATGCAGGCTTGCATGACTGATTCTCCCCAGAGCCCACACCGGTCTTTGGTTCCTGGGAGCAAAGACTTCATCATCAGTAATTATTACTGGGTGCTGACAGGAAGAAAGTGAGCAGAGGACAGAAGCCAGCAGAGGGCGCTGCACAGCTTCTAATGTGGGAGCGTCCTGGGCTCCTCCAGAGGGAGCCTGTGAAAGGCCCGCAAATCAATTTCCACTTTCTTCCCAGCCCATGTCGATTTGTAAAAACAGACATTTGGAGAACCTGAACTTGCTGAGCTGGCTCGCGAGCCCGGGCCACTTCCCACAAGTCTCTCAAATATGGAGGACAGGCAGATAAGGGGCTGAAAGGGGAACGTGGCCAGGTGGCCCAGGATTTTACGCTGCTTGCTGAGGTCCTTGACTGCATGGCCTTGTGACCGGGACACCTTGTGGGCTGGTCCTTGGTGCTGTGCGGGGAAGCTGCTCCTCTTTTGGGCCGCTTGAGTACTGATTATTACAGTTGTCAGTTCTGCTGGAGGATTCTCAGCAAAGTAGTTTACAACTTGGGACACACACGGGCCCTTGGGAAGTTCAGGAGGATGGAGTGGGGGGAGGAACAACCTATCCAATTCTTCCTCCAAAGTGTCCCCTGCTTGTGATGCATTTATATCCACATACAGAAGCACCACACACACAAACACAAACACCCACACCCACTTGGCAGTGGTTCAATGACAAGTTCACAGATGAAAGAACGATCCGATAACACCTAGCATTAAACGGTAAAAACAAATAGCTAATGTTCATTCTTCAAGGACAAGAGTGTGAACACTCCCAGTTGTGAGCTGTCTGAGTGAATAACGGCTCGTTCATTCCACACACGTTTATACCAGGTGTTGGGTGCTGCTCTGGCACTGCTGAGCGGTGGGTGAGGACAGCAGCCTCTCCCCATGCTCATTTGAGAGACGGCCTGAGGGCAGTGGGCCGAGTCGGGTACAATGGTCAGGATGGCCTCTATGGTGATCTGACACTTGGACAGAGACTTAAACAATGCAAAGAGAGGAAGAGTAAAGATCCAGGGCAGCTTGTCCCCAAAGGAGGAAATAGTACATTCGAAGGCCCTGAGGCAGAAAAAGGGGGTGGCATGTTCCAGGAACAGTAAGAAGACTGGAGGGTTTGGAGACCCCAAAGACCTCATCAGGAGCTGTCACGGCAAGGAGTTTGGTGGGTTCTATATGTCCAGTAAGAAGCCACTCTAGGCTGTGACGGTGAGGGTGAAAATGCTTCCATTTAAGTGTTTGAAAGATTACCCGAGCAGCTGTTTTCAGAAAGCAGATCTTTGAGAGAAAAGCCAAGGAACAAAGGAGACAAGTTAGGCAGTCATTTTCACCACCAGTGATGGCCATGGCTCTACTCAAGATGGCCACCGGGGCCAGGCGTATCCAGGGAGATTGTGCGTGTGCTGCTGGGATGAGGGGCAGAGAGGAGGCTGGAGTGAAGCAGCCTTATCCATGGGCAGATGAGAAACAAGAGTCCCTTCTAGTGAGGGGCCTCCACGGCAAAGTCCGCTACTCTCCAAAGCACCGAGTGCTCAGGCTCCTTCTCACCTTCGCCTCTGGTCTTCCTCTTGGTGATCACAAAGGGACTCGAACTCCCAACCTTCCTGTCCTAGATGCCCTCCTCTGCTGCGCTCTAACATCCCAGCTTCATTTCAAGCCGCGCATTTTTCCTCCTCCCCCTGGCTTCCAGGATTTACTGTCTTCCCACCCCCCCATTAGGTCTCCATTACCTTCCCTCTCATCTACTTTTGCTAATTGTTGTGCACTTATTAGAAAATTTATTTCTAGGCAGGACATGACTATGGTCACTTTTCCCTTTAGACCTGCAAGGAACACCCTTGAAAAGCCTGTCTACTTCCTCCTCTGTGCTGGCCTGGCAATTGGGGATCTCTAGCGGGGCTGGTTTGTGATGTCTTGGTTTCAGCTTCCTGGGCCAAATAGCCACCTGCAGCCTCGGGCAGGAGGAAATGAGAGATTCATGCTCCGCCCCCCATTATCTTTTTTTGTTCTATAATTCTTGTGACACTAGAAATGGTTCAGTGCTACAGAACATGCTTTTAAAACCATAAACACTTAGGTACAAGTTGGTCCTTTTGGTGCTTAATCAAAGCTGATTTTAATACTGCCTTCCAGTTCCTAACCTTGCTCAAAATATCATTGTTGGTGGCTTTTAGACCCTCAACTTAGGGTCAGGTGTCCTCCACAGAGGCGGGCAGGGTAGATGTGGGACTTTGGTTCAACGTAGCATCAATACATTTGCAAGCTTTCTTGTAGCTTATGCCCCGTGGTTTAGGGGGTATGTATTATAGGCTGGGTTTTGGCAGTTTGTGCAGAGAGAAATTTCCAGCAGATTCGCAACCTCTTCTTTTCTAATGCTATTCAAGCTACATCTTTCCATGAGATGTAAATGGGAAATAAGTTACACATTTCAAACACAGATCCCCTGTCTCTCTCATAGGCATTATGTTCTGAATATTGCATTTAACTATTCAAAGAGATCAATTTCCCGATCCATTTCTTACACTGGCGGATCTAGGAGAGAAGACCGGCGCCCCGGGGCCCTGAGCTTTCGACTGTATTTATGGGGGTGGGTGTTGGAAGGCCACAAAGAAAGCATGCCTGATAAATTTGCAGGGCATTCAAAGCCAGGATGAAGAGTAGGAATGGGGCTGGCTGCTCCACGTCCCTTGTTTTCAACACTCACAGCAACCTTGTAACGCCGCTGAGGCCATCTGTGTAGTCATTTGGGGTCAATGACTTTGGAGTCAGAGAACCAGGTCAGTGTGACCTTGAAAAAAGTCCCTTGCGTTTTCTCAGTGGCATTTCTCCTCTTTAAAGTGTGGACCATTACAGTCTCTACTTCCTGAGCTGCCAGGAATTAGGAGAGGTCCTGTGTGCAGTGCTCGGAACACAGAAAGCACTAGATAAATGACAGAAATCTTTCCGGCCATCATTCCCATTTTATAGATAAGGAGACAGGGGCGCGGAGCACTGGAGCTGAGGCCACACAGCTAGTGTGTGGAGAGCTGGAGTCAGAACCCAGTGCTCCCCGGCTCCACAGCCTACTCTTTATGCTATGCAAAGGATCAAGATTGCAAAAGATCTTGCTAGGCTGTAACTGCAAAGGGAAAAGAGGTTCTGCGCAGCGGGGACCCACACAAAGACATTCATTAGTGCTGAAAATTATTTATACAAGTAGCGGGGTAGTTGGCCCTGGGCAGATCATTTTGAGAGGAGAGAAGATGTCTAGCAGCGGCAGGGACGCAGGCTTAACGTGACAGAAGGCTGCCTGTTAGGACGAAGCCGACAATCTCAGATGGCCGTGGTACATCCTGTTCAGATCGGTGATGGCAATAATTACCCCAGCTTCGGTCACAAGACCTCACGGCACTGCCACCAGGGCTGAGAATGACATTTGCGGCAGGACAAAGCGTGTCCCTCTACTAAAGCCGAAGGACCTGGGAAAGCAGGAGTTAGGGAGTGTGACTGGAAGGTGTCAGGACCCAGGGGAAATCGGTCCATTTCTTTGGTTATTTGCAGATCTCCACAGAAGAAATGAATTTCCTTTGGGTGCCACAGGAAAGGACAAATGGATTTAAAAGAAGTACTCCAAAGGCATGCTTTGGCTATGGCAGATATTAAGCTATTTGGCCATATTAGATTAATGAGCTGTTTGGTCACGTTGGATGTTAAGATAATTTCTAATGATTAGGACTTTGAAACAGAGAGTGGGCCATTTGGCAGAGGAAATGAACCTCTCACCATGCAAAAGAAGTGTAAGCCAGGTAACCACCTTTGCAGTATTCCACTGAAAACAATGATCCACAGCGAGGAAATGCCCGGTCTAAGGGTCTTCCAATGAAGGTGCTGGCATGCAATGGACGCTCAATAATCCCGAGGCGTGTGGCCCACCGTGAATTGAAAACCTTTCTCTTCCCCCTTCTCCCATGAGCAGCACCTTTTCCTTTGTCCAGGGAGGAACTTCTGTTCTCAGATCTGGCGACACATGCTAGGTGAATGTCCTATCCCTGAGCTACACCCCAGCTCCACTGGGACTCTGGTAAAGGGAAAATACAAAACTCATACAATACTCATCCCAATACAGAAGCAGTATTGGGAGTCTCAGTGAGGTCCTTTGCAATTGTAGGGACAGGGAGCTGGTCTGCGGAGTCAGGGTGACCTCTTCCTTTACTGAAGGTGGCATGGGGGAGCCAAGGTGGGCCATGCCAAATGCAACCCCAAGGGTGCCTACCTGGATTTAGGACTTTGTAGGTTTTGACGGCTCAGGAGCCGTGCAGCGGAGACTCGCTTCTTGTGGACATTGGAGAGACCTGTGAGTAGAAAAAGAGTTGTCCATAAAACGCTCTAGCTTACCATGGAGACCCTACACACGCTTGTAGGCCTTCTGGAGCCAAGAGAAGAGACAGAAGCGAAGAGGCTGGGCGGCCCTGGCGGGGGGATTGGATAATGCAGAACGGAAAGCAGACTTGGTTGGACTCAGTTGGGACGGGTTGGTTGTGGAGCACGCACCACACAGCTAGGGGCAGCGTCCCAGCACTGGCGTCCCCGGCTTCGGGTGGTAATGCGGCACGTTCATTTTGGGGAGGTGACATGAGAGACCAGAGCAATGACGCCACCCTCCCCGCTTTCTGGGGAGACAGCCCTGCCCTGCCCCGTCCTTTCCCACTGCCCTGGTGACCGGGTTCGGGGTACCTTGTGTGAGTTCTGGGGCCTCAGCCACGTAGGTGAGGCGAAACTTGTTTCTCTTCCAGCTGCGGTCGTTGCTGATGAGCGAGTTGTTTGCCTTCTCGATGTTGACGTCGTCCCCCACGCAGAACACATCGCAGGCTGCCTGTGACATGGGGAGGGCTTCTGGTGACTTCTTTCAGCCAAGAGGGGCTCCTGCCTGGGAGCTCCAAGCCATGGCATGTATTTCGCCACCCTTCCTCCCTCCCTCCCCCTGCCTCCATCTTTCCTTTCCTTTCTTCCCTTGTCTCTCCACCCAGGCACCCACCCGTCCACCATTCCGTCCATTCATCAGTCCACTCACCCACCCACCATTCATCCATCCATCATCTCTCTCACCCATCCATCCACCCACCCACCCACTCAACCATTTGTCCATCCATCCATCCATCCACCCACTTACCCCACCCTCCCAACTGCCCAGCCATGCATCTATCCATCCTATATTTTTTGAATACCTTCAATGTGCTGGATATATCATATCTTCCATTGGCTATGGAATCATTTTTTAATAAACAAACTTTCCAGGGTAGTTTACCAATGTTTGGCCTTGCGTCAATTGTAAAGCAATTCAAGTGCTCACCAACAGTCAAATGGATGAGCAAAATGTGGCCTATCTATACGACGGAGTACTACTTGGCCACAAAAAGGGACAAAATCCCGATACCTACGACAGCATGGATACGCCCTGAAGACATTACGCTGGGTGGCAGAAGCCAGACACGAAAAGCCACCCATTCCATAATTCCATTCATATGAAACAAACAAGACAGGGAAATCTAGACACAGAAATTAGATTAGTGACCACTAGAACTAGGAGTAGAATGGGGGAACAGGTCGACAGCTAAAGGGTACAGTGGTTTTTAACATGTCTTCCTTCTGGGATGCCCAACAGAGCTTGGATAATTAAAACCCAAAACCACACAATGACTTCCGGTGTAAAAATCCAAGGGATCTCAGCTCCCACAGCTGGTTAGAAACACAGGAACAGGCTTACAAACACAGTTCCTCTCCCAGAACTCCTGGCAGCCCAGGAGCCCCAGTTTCCCCTTCTGCTCTCTGTCCGCCCTTGATTTCCAGATAAAAAGTGCCCAGGGGCTGACAGGAGGATGCACAATCTCCTCTCTCCTGGGACTGAGGGTAAGAATGCCCCTGGGGGCAGCGGAAGGAGCAGGCAAAGGTGACGTTCCATGCTCAAGCCCCTGTCCCCGGGGTTGTCTGTGCAACCAGGGCCAGACACGAGGCCATGATTCACTCATTCTCCTGTGACCTTGTACTGGGACAGGGCGGACCGACAGGGTGTTCCCTCATGATGGAAACATTGTGCTTTGTGTAGGATGGCCACTAGCTGCTGACGGCTGCCACTCACATAAAATGTGTACAGTGCAACAGATGTGGAACTTTCAGTGGTACCTTTTCTTCTACTGTGTAGATAGAATCTATAATTTTATTTAGCTATGTTTCGTGATGGCAGGACTGGAAATGAGGGCCTCAGGCACTCTAGGCAAGTGCTCTCCCACTGAGCTACATCTCTGGCCCCTGTTGTTATTTTTGTGGGCCAACTCCTTGCCTATACATGGTGTAGGGTATTGTACTCCAGGTGAAAAAATGTGAGCTTCAAGGCCCTCAAATTCACTGGAGCTGTTTAAAGCTGTATGTTGGCCAGACACGTAGAGAAAGTACCAGGGGCTGTTTTTCTCAAGTCCCTTTCTTGATAACTTCAGTGCTGTCTTTGCGGGTCTAAGAGGCATTTCTCCTCCTCCTCGAGTTAAAAAAATTTTTTTTAGCGATATTGGGACTTTGACTGAGCTATATCCCCCATCCTTTTCAAAATTATTTATTTTGAGACAGGGATGAGCTTCTCAGGCTGGGCTGAAACTTGGGATTCTCCTGCCTCAGCCTCCCAGAGTTCTGGGATCACAGGCACGTGCCACCAGGCTCAGCCCTTCCTGAGTTTCTGAGACCCAGATTACCTTGAAGACCTTCTTGGCCCAGGTCCTGAAAGCCTCCTCCTGCCCACAGAGCTCGTCTCCCTCTCTCATCTTCAGGATCCTCTCCCCGCCCAGCTCTTCCAGGAGAGTGTCCACGGCGTGTCCGAAGGCGCAGAAATGCGGGTAGGCCCGGGAGCCGAGGCCAAACACGGAGAACCTGCCGAGGAGACGACAGAGGGTCTGTGCCAGGGAATGGGGGTGTGCGCGAGGGGTCTGCTCCTGGGCTGATGTGCGCTCTCAGATTCTCATGTTGGAGCCCTAGGCCTCCCTGTGCATACACGCACCCCTGTACATATATGCGCTGTGATCAAAAATATGGCGAGGGCCGGGGATTTAGCTCTCCGGTCCTGCCTTGCAAGCTCAAGGACCGGAGTTGGATACCCAGTGCCAAAAAAGGAAAAAGAAAAAAAAAATGGTGAATGTTTAAAAGTGACTGTAAAAGACACACTGCCATGAATTTCCCTCAGAATACTCCCACTCCCTGGGAGCACGCTTAGCCCATCGCTCTTGCCAATTTCTGCAGTAGCTCTGGATGCGCTCTTCCACGAGTGTCTGCCGTTACACTGTTGTGACTACTTCAGGGTCCCGAACTGATCCATAACATTTACCTTTCATGGTCATTTTGACTTTGGGGAAGAGGCTGCAGTCACACAATGGCAGATCCGGTGAATGAGGTGGCTGAGGACACATCACGACGTCTTTACAAGCCTGCTCTCCGTCGAACGGCACTTGGCGGCAGCACTCACTGTATTTGTTTTTAACCACACTTCATAAAGACGTGAAAGAGGACTTCTGGAAGTGCTTCAGAAAGTGGCAAGGGCGATGAAATAAGTGTGCTTGAAGTGAAGGGAAATATTTTGGCAATCCTAATGGCAGTGTGTCAGGGTGATGACGTTTTCCCCTCCAGTTTAAATGTTTACCATATATTTTGATCCCACTGCATAGGTGGAGACAGGGCCTCTGTGGAGGTGAGGGAGGTTAAATGAGGCCGTAAGGATGGGGCCCTGATCCGACAGCACCTGCGTCGCTGCGCTCTCTCTCACACTGCAGCAAGAAGATGGCCAGCCACAGGCCAGGGGAAGAGGCTGCACCCGAAGCCAACCCTGCTGACACCTTGCTCTGGGATTTCTAGCTTTTCAAACGATGAGAAAATAAACATCTGCTGTTTTTAGCCACCATTCTGTGCTGCCTTGTCACGGCAGCCCAAGCAGACTGGCGCGGCTGCTGTCTCAGGTAGCACCGTGTCTACCCCACAGGTGTCTCTGGAAGGCCACGCGTAACCCTCGGAGCCCCCAAGACCCCTTCCTTCCTTTTGGCTTGTGCTAGGTCTCGTTATTCTTAGGAGAAAATTCAGATTGTTGGAATTCTAAGGTCCTTAGGAGGATAAGATGGGGCCAGCAGCGACCTGGAAACACTGATGGCCTCTTGCATGCCCCTTTCTAAGCTGGATGAATGGGAGAAGGGAGGCTGTGTTTGTGGAAGGCTTGAATTCTACGAGCAACACAATTAGATTACCTTTAGCAGAACAACACCAAAGACTTAACACGACTGTCCTCAGAGACCCGTATTAATAAAGGGACCAGAAGGTCTTGTCATGAACACATCAAACGTTGGTGTACACACAGGATTTTCCAACGGGATGAAAGGGTTTTAACCATGCTGCCTCCACCCCTCTTAATGTCTATGGAATTAGTGTGCTCACACTCCCGCTTTGCACAGATACCATCAAAGTGTTGGTGTTTGAAACAGTAGAGGTTAAGTTAATGCAAGTTTTCTCCATGTTGAGGTGGGGGAACTTTGGCTATGGGCACTGGAGGGCTGTGTCCACGACGGCCCCACTTGCTAGTGTGTCGTCTTACAAGCACTGTGCATGTGTGTGTGTGTGTGTGTGTGTGTGTGTGTGTGTGTGTGTGTCCAGGGCCTTTACATAGAGCTATATCTCCAGCCCCTTTTTCAATTCTGAAACAGGGTCTCAGTAAGTTGTCCAGGCTGGACTCCAATTTGAGCTTCTCCTGCCTCAGCCTCTCAGAGGGCTGGGATCACAGGTGTGCACCACAATGCCTGGCTTAGTCTTGGTGCCACTTAAGGCCGCATTTCTGGTGCTTGGTTCTGGCTGAATCTCTGGACCAGGGAAGGAGCACCAAGTCTTCTGCCGGGACAAGGACTCCCCCACCTCACTCAAGGTTAGAGTATCCTGCTGGAGCCTGTCACCCTGGGTGAGCCAAGAAGAGGAACCATTTTCCCTGCTCTACACAGGGCCTGGCCCTGTCCCTGAATCTTTTCTTGAGGATGACAGGGACAAGATGATGAGAGTTGGAGACGGAGGGGGTGGAGAGCAGGTGCAGGAAGTTGGGACGGGTTTCTTGATTAATGGAGGGTGAACTTGAGATGGGTCAGGGGTCTCCCAGGTGGGGCGAAGGTGGACAGAGGTTGATGTTATCCACTCCTCTCAACTCTACATCTGTGTTGTCTCATTTTACCCTCCTCCTCTTTCCTGCTTTCCTTTTCCTGGGGCTCCTGAGCCCCTCCCAGTCAAGTGTGTCCAACTGGGTGTATTTCCTCCCAACTGTTTCCTTCCAGGCTGGAAGGCGGTGAGATGTGACCAGGTGTGGCATGACTGGAGGGGCGTCTAGAAAGGGCAGCCAGGCCCCCAGCTACCTGCCTTAGCCTAGCGCAGACTGGAAATTCTTAGCACCTGGCATGCCTGTGGCTAAGATGTCATTCCCCAGTCCTCTTATTTATGCTCGTGTTGTCTGCCACCTTCGACTATCTTTGAGATTCTCAATTATTTTTTGTCTTCTTTAACTTGCCTTTAATATTTACCATGTAGGCAGTAAACCACATGCTACAGTTTGACTGTGTCCCTTCTAAAGTTGTAAGATGAAACCTAACTAACCACCAGTATGATGGAATAGGAGGTGGGGTTTTAGGAAGTGACTAGCTCATGGGGGTGGAGCCCTCATAAATGAGATTAGTGCCCTTATGAGTGGCTGAAGGGACCAGAATTCTTCTCTTCCACCAAGGGAAGACAAGGCTAAGAGGGCACCACTGATGAACTAAAACTGGGCTTTCCCCACACACTGGATCTGCCAGCGCCTTGATCTTGGACTTCCTGGCCTCCAGAACTATTAGGGATAAATACGTGTCATGTATGAGACCCCCAGTTCATGAGATTGTAGAACAGACTGCAATATCCACGCCTTGTGCTTGCCCAACACACAGTCCAAGTGGATGATTCATTAATTCACTTCTTGCTGACTTACAGCCTGTATCACAGCGAGCATTCAACTTCTGTTCCTGCCACAGTGTTCACTTACAATTTCAAACTTCCTGCTTTAAATCTTCAAACCAGCATCTGACCAGCTTCTGATAAGTGAGGACATACAGCAAATATATTTAGGACTATGAAACTGAAGCCACGATGTGGGTACTTAGATGACAAGAAAGGAAACAACATCCTGCCCGTGTCTTAAGTTGACAAAATAAAAAGCCATAATAATAATAGAGGGCAGTTTAAAAATACAGGTCTATTAAGAAGAAGAACGAGGGGGTGACATTGTGCTTAGCTGGGGTTCATAGGTAAAGCTTTCTATCATCAGATTAATTATAAAAGTTCATCTGTGAGGAAACCATTCTTAGCTCATGGGTTGTACAATAACATACAGCGGTCAGGCTGGAGTTGGACCACAGGGATTAGTTTGCCAAACCCTGCTGTGATAGATTTAATAAGGGAAAAATAGGTCTGACTGTTCAACTCCAGAACTAATATTTCAGTGTTGAGCTAAAAAATGTACTGATGTCGGGACTCATAAAATGTGTCATGCTAAGATGGATCCTAATGTAAACTAGGGCTCTGGGTGACAATGATGTGTCCAGTTGAGGTCGATGATTCTAGCAGATCTACGCTGCCTGTGCAGAGAGCTGAGGTCAGTGGGCGAAGGGAACTTATTGTACTTTCTGCTCGGTTTTGCTGTCAACTCAAAACTGCTTTTTAAAAGTGAAGTCTATGGGCTGGGGATTTAGCGCAGTGGTTCTGCCACGTGCCTTGCAAGCACAAGGTCCCGAGTTCGACTGCCAGCACCCCAAAAACAAACAGACAAACAAAAAATGAAGTCTATTTGGGTACGATCCTTCAATGTCTAGGGACCCTGTGGCCTTTATCACTGAAGTATGAGTTGGCCTCATCAGTCTTGTTTTGACCACTATCCCTGAGACCAAAGTTTGCCTTCCCAGTTTATGTCTTTCCAAATATTCATTCAATGGAATATGGAGTTGTTGAAACACAAACTACATTTGTCAATGTGCCCCCTAAAATTAGCTTATGTTACCATGCTTTGGGGAACATAGAGGTAAGCGAGGATTTTAAAAATTTGTAGGTTAGTGCCAAAGATTAAAACTAGACCCTTATCTCTCACCATGCACTAAATTAAAATCCAAATGGATTAAAGATCTAAATATTAAAACAGAAACACTAAACTTGCTGGAAGATAAGTTAGGCAGAACTCTGGAAGACAGTGGCATAGGAAAAGACTATGAACAAATCCTCAGTAGCATGGGAATTAGCAGAAAGAATCAACAACTGGTATCTCATCTTATTAAAAAGCTTCTGCACTGCAAAAGAAACCATCAACAGAACTAAGAGACAACCTACAATGTGGGAAAAAATGTTTACCAGCTGCTCCTCAGACAAAGGACTATTATCTAGAATATATAAAGAACTCAAAACAATCAGCACCCCCAAATATAAAGACCCAATTCAAAAATGGGCATCCGAAATGAACAGACATTTCTCAGACAAAGAAGTAAAAACAGCAAGTAAATATATGAAAAAATGTTCCACATCACTGGTCATTCGAGAGATGCAGATGAAAACAACACTGAGATTCCACCTCACCCCACAAAGAATGGCTGCTATCAAGAAATCAACCAATAACAAATGTTGGCGGGGTTGTGGGGAGAAAGGAACCCTTCTCCATTGTTGGTGAGAGTGCAGACTGGTGCAACCACTATGGAAATCAATATGGAGATACCTCAAAGAGCTGGGACTAGAGGTTCCATTTGACCCAGCCATCCCTCTGCTGGGTATCTTTCCAAAAGAATTAAAAGAATCATATCACAATGACATATGTGCACCTATGTTTATAGCAGCACAGTTTGTAATAGCTAAAACTTGGAAACAGACCATTTGCCCATCAGTTGGAAACTGGATAAAGAAGATGTGGGTTTTCTATAAAATGGAGTACTGCTCAGCCATAAAGAATGAGAAAGTAGATTCATTCATAGGAAAATGGATACATTTTGAGGATATACTCCTAAGTGAAATAAATAAGTCACACTTGTGTAAATACCGAATAGTTTCTCTGGTGTGAAAAACTATAATAGTACTCAAGATCCTAACAGGTTAATTAGCAATGTGAAATAGGAAGAAAAGGGCTAAAGGTGTAGTGACAGTGGGAAGGGTAGGGGAAGGGGAATAAGGGAAAGGGAAAAAATGTGAGAAAATGTAAAAATGGAATTAACGTGTTGGGGTAGGGAGG